TCAGCCGAAAAATAGAAGTCAGTATCTGAAGTGGGGCCTCGGTTTGAGGTTTACAGTCCATGTGTTTATATGCGTGACTGCATCAAACCAGAGAGGGGAGAGCTTTTAGCCAATCAGCTTTTCTGTCAGAGCATCTGGAACATACTTCCAACTGACTTTAAAGAGCTGCGGTACTGAAAAGTTAAAACATCTGGACCAACATCAGAGCCCACATGATGTATTTTAACAATACTCCCTCTGTCTGTGGCCTACAGTGTTGAATTCTGCCTGCTGGATCCTGGATGGCTTGCATGTTACTCTAAACTTGCTTTCATGTCCTTAGTGTGCCTTGCGTGTTTGCTTGTAACACCATATTCTGTTGTCCTGTGTATATTTAGTCTGTTGTTGCAGAGTTATGATTGTGATATGTGCTTTTAAAGCCTGTTTTCTGCCAGACCTGGAGGTGAAAACTAATCATTTGGCAAAATGTAGCCACACGGCTCACAGTGATGTCAATCAAGAGCGATGGTTTGGTTTCAGAAGTTCAGACAGTGCTCAAGAACAACAACAAGAGAGAAAGAAAGAAAAACATTAATCCCACTCAACTGGAAATTAAAATATCAGGTCCTGATCAAGCTTTTTGGCCCCGACCCGAGTCCTTGATTATCTGCAGATACAGAGTCCGATCGGATACTTAAATCTTGATTAAATCTAACAGATTTGAACAGCTGCAGAAACCCGACAAGATTTTTCACAAGCTACTTCATCCAAATATCGAAGGTTATGTTTCAAACCTATTAAGCTTGTGAGCTTAAATTATTGATGTGAATAAAAGTCTAACTGATCTGGAGAGAAGACGTCTCACTCTGTAGTTGTTGGAAATACAGAAGCTTCTTTTCTCTCATTAATAATATTTGGCCGAGCGCAGACACACAAACAGACAAGTTTAATTTTGTTCTGCACAAAATTCACAGCATTAATGTTAATTATCTTCACCTGCTGGCGGTTTGTCATTTAAACCGCTGAAAGTGACGATGAGCATGGGAAGCTGCTACCTGAATGTTTTGTACGCTGCTGTAATGAGAGAGGAGAGACTACAGATTTATTACCCTCTGAGCGTCAGAACAGAGTGATCAAATCATTTTCCACATCCACTCTCTAATTTTTACTCTCACATGCAGGGAAATGCTGCAGTGTAGAGGCCGGCTGTGGTGCTCTGTAGGATCTGATTTATTTTAGCCGATACGGTCCTTTAAAGTCTGTACCGGCCCTGATCCAACGCTTTAGTTGATCAGCTCAAACTAAATATATATTTTTTATTAAGCTGAAAAACATAACCCCATGAAGAGGTTGTTTTGTTTAACCCTGAGTAGTGTCTGCAGATCTCCCCCTCAGGCTGCATTTAGCCCCAACAATCTCCACCAATGAGGGAAAAGGGCAGCCGAAGCCAAAGGACTCGCTATTCCTGGTAAAGCTTAATTGCTCTTCAGTAATAATTAAAGCAGATGTAGGTGAGTGACTCTGTCCTGGTTTTGGTTTTAAGTGCAGTGCTTTCCTGTGTTATTTTGTTAAATCCGTCCTCATGTGTTTTTGTCAATTCACTTCCCTATTAATTTTAGTTTCCACCTGTTTCTCGTTAATCACCTCCCTTCTTGTTTATTTAAGTCTGTGTTTTCCTTTTTGTGTTGTCTGCTCATCTTTGTCCATTGTGTCCTTTCTCTAGGGTTTGCTGTCCGTGTTTTTGGATTTTGGATTATGTGCCCGTCTCCTGTTCCTCTTTTGTTCATTTTGGAGTCCGGATTCTTAGAGTCATTAGTGATAAACCGATTAATCACTCGGCCGATATCTGTAATTTTGTGATAATCGGCATCGACCGATCCTGGCGCTCACGAGGCCGATACCAACCCGTTCTCACTCCCCGACTTGTCACATATGGACGCAAGGTCAAGACCCATCGGCGTCAGTTAGTAACGCACTGGGGATCCCTATAGCGTCATAGTTCAATGCAGTGGGGGGGAAGTCCTGTAGCGTCAGTTTGTGACGGTAAAGGTGGGTGTATGATATTTAACAGAAAAGACTGAGTGAGGAGGTGGTTGAGGTGGATGGAGGGCCAGAACCCGGACTTTGAACAAGCAGACTGGTGTTTGTGTCCTGTGTGAAACAAAAAGTCAATATTAAATATTTTTATTTAAGTTAACTTAGGCAAGTTACGTCACTTGCATAAGTTACACAAGTTAGCTTACGAGTTAACTGACGTACGTAGTTATTTTAACCCAAACCATGATTTTTTCCGTTTCAAAATGGCAATGATTTGAAACGCTATCGTTTTATTTTGAAAGTGTAACCGGAGGTTGCATATTTGTTGTTGCTAAGCCAATGTATGTTTCTGTCTTATTGAATAATAAAACTTGCTCTAACATTACTGGCTGAGATTACATGTATATGAAAGTCAGAGGACAGATTTTAGTGAGTGAATCAAACGGAAACTGAAGAATTGGACAATGAGAGGATGTTGAAACGCGAAGCAGACATGTCCCAGTCCCTCTTAGTGTGCATCAAACCCGATAAATAAATAAAGCAAAGCAAAAGAAAGAATTAAAGTCAAGTTTCATTATTGTTCACCGACTCTTAAACTGAATCGAGCTGCTGCTGATGAAATGATGATGGATTGCTCCCCCTCCTCCTTCCTGTGATGATCTGAGTCAAAGTAACTCTGCTGGTTGTTGTTGTTTCTGAATTCAGCTGGAGCCTCCTCTGAGCTGCCGTCTCGCACAGGCAGCTGTGAAGCTCCTCTGATCGTGTTGGGCAGTTCTGTCCTGTTTGTGTGGACATGAGTTAATAAATGCAGGTTTTTGCTTTTGGATCACAGAGCGTGACGGTGAGTTTCAAACTGTATTTGCATGTCTTGTTATTGCAGCAGCTCTGTGGTGAATTTGTCTTCCAGACACTGCCCTTCACGCTGATGCTGCTTTTATACTGTCATGTTGTTCGGCCAAATATGCAACAAATACAACGTGCTGGCTGTAGAGTAATTATATTTAGTTTCATATGAGAGCAACAAACAGCAGGCTGCTCGTGTCTCCTGATGTGTCTGAAGAAACTTTGTAGTGTTTTTCTTCTTTATGCCCATAAACTAATGAGTCTACAGCCACTGTGCACAGCGGTGAAGTGTTCTAGTACATGCACGAACAAATATTTAACAAAGAATCTTCACCATTATCAGCTTAGCCGGGACATACAGTACACTACTTCCTCATTAACAGCTAATTAAAGGCTCTTTCACACCTGCAGTTTGGTTCCTTTGGTCCAGAAGGAAGAAAATGATCTAGTGTTGCCTTTTTGTTCTGTTTTGTGTCACACTGATGTTTTACAAACCAGGAGCTGTAAACATGAAGTTATACAGACTGACAGGGAACTCACTGATTGGACAGTTTTGGTGATGTCATCCTGCATCTTCAGCGATACAGTGCATTGACACCACTCATGCAGATCAGGAGACTGCTTTGTTAAAGGTTCCCAGTCTGCAGATGAACTTAAGAGCAGTTTAGCTTTTGAGTTCATGCTGAAATCACACATCTTCCATCACAGCATTCAAATCCAAACCTCTGCTTTTCAGCCAACGCTCCAGAGTTCATTATAAAGGGGTGTAAAGCTCCCTGAAAGGCATAAATAGCTGGCTGCTGAGCCTCTAAATACTGATTGTATGGGATTACTTCTGTATCAAACTGAATGCAACAGATTAAACCAGCAGCATACTGAATGTGCAAGTGCTGGTGACTCTTTTGCAGTACACAGTGCATCCAGCATGTTTTACAGGTTAAAATCACTGAATCTACATTTCTATTTACAGCTACCACTCTCATAAAAAGACAATAGAGTTATTAAAACACAGAACTCTTTGTAGCAAAGATGCAAATACAACATCTATCTGAAAGTGCAGGAATATAAACAAAGACATTTTAAATAGGTTTATAATATAAAGCTTTATATAGCATCTCTACTTTTTCTGGTATTGTACCATTATTATTATTATTATTATTATGTATATTTAAAAATGCATATTTACATATAAATTCAAAATGAACCTATGATTCCCGTCCGATTTTTTCGTGTCAGTCATGTGATGAATAGTGAAATTGACGAAAAAATGGCAGCCTCTATTATACACATACAATTATGTAAAATTATATATTGTTTTACTTAATTGTGCCCCCCCCCACCCCACCCCCACTTCACGTAAAGCAGTTGAATATTAATGTGATCTCTTATCTATAAAATATAATAAAGGGACTTATTTCCCCACCAGAATGATGTTCCTGGTATTATGAAGATTTTTATGTTAGCAGATAAAAACGTACAGAAAATATATTAGCACTATTAAATGACTATAGAAATGTGATAAAAACTTTTGATACATATGTGTAAGACACTTTTGGGGACTAGTTAACTTTTTGGTTGGTAGTTAGGGTTTTGTGTGTTTGTAAAGGCTGATGCAGCCTGATGTCTCCTCTTCCTCTGAGCCGTAGAGCTCCATCGTTGTGCAGAAACCCATCAGCGAGCGTCACTGCTGCACTGGATCACATGTTCATTCATCACCATGAACACACACTCTGTAGTTTATTCTGACTCAGTCCCACACACACCGTCCTGCTGCTCCAAACACTCACTACAGCACCACATGTGGATTCATCCGCTGCTGAAAATAGTCCCCAACAGATGCTCTATTTTCTCCTGTAGCTTTTAAAAAACCCCAATACTAATACATTTTATTTCTATAGCACTTTAAAAGGTACCCAAAGGCACTTTACAAGACAATAACAATACGAGCAATGCCAGTATACAAACAGCAACAACAATGAAAAGGATAAAGGGAGGGGTGGGACATGTGGGGGGGAACCAATGAGCTTGGAGCTGAAGAACGTCAGACAGGATGTTCATGGTACTTGTTCACAACAAAATATATACAAAATAACTCCAAGCTTAAGAGAAGAAGGTAAAAAGATAATTTCGTCTCTTCCTACCTGGAACTGGCAGACGCATTTGAGCTGAGCTCCGTCGTCTCTGCAGACGCCTCCGAATCGACAGGTGGAGTCATCGCAAACCCTCAGGTCGCTCTTCTTCTCTGACAGATCTGCAGCAGAGGGAGAAACAAAGGGAGAGGGTTAAATAAAGAGAAAGACGACAATGACCAGGTAGATCAATAAACACCTACACAAGTACGCTAAGTAAATTCTGACATCCCACCTCTGATCCCTCAGAATAAAACACGGACAGTTTTCTGAGTTGATGCACAATAAACAGAGACAGAGAGCAGAGCTGCAGGGAAGAACGTGGACACATTTCCCAGCAAAGCACAACAGAGGAGATGAGTGTTCATCAGACAAAGCAATAAGGCTCACACCTGAACTACAGGTGAGTGTGTTTCCACCAGGGAAATAACAGGTAGAACAGAGGAGAACACAAAGCCGTGATGTCTCTCACCAGCCAGAAGCTGATCCTTATTCAGTTTATCAGTTACAGATCGTCTCTCTGCTAGTTTGTGTGGTTTCTTTAAACAACAGCTACAAATGAGATGATGTTGAAATATCAGACGTCTGTTTCCAGGCGTCTGAATCGCTGCACATCCCATCTTTATTAATAAAAAATAATAATACAATTATTTCATAAAGAAAATCTTTTTGTGATATTGGCGACATTTAGCTTTGTTGACGTAAGGACGTCATACTGGTACGAACTGCAACAAGCACTGCTGAAAGGCAAGGCAACGTTTATACTGGCTCCGCGGTGGTGGAGTTACTTCTGAAAAGGGGGAAACTTCCGGTTACAAAAGATCAGATGTTCAACAAACCACGGTAACATGTCTGTAACGACTAAAGGGAGCAACACAACGGGGCGATTTCAACAACGGCAGCAGAAGCACCTGGATAATTACGGGGAGAGCTGAGCAGTTGTGAGCTCAAAAGACTTTTTCAGCATTTTGACATATTGTCAAGAATTTTGATATCACAGAAATACCCTGATTTTATTTAATGGTCATATCTGCAAAGCTTACAACGCAGTCTTTGCGCTAAGCGAGGCTAAATGAGTCCTGGGTCCATCTCTGTACCGGACACAGAGATTAAACTGATGTTCATCATCTCATCAATCTGCCAGCAAGACAGCAAACAAACACCTTTCCCTAAAATCTCAGGACTATCACTGAATTTCTTTGGGACATCACAACTCTGTACAGAGGAGAGAAAAATGAACAGAATGTAATTTAATGTTAATCTGACAGAAATTTTTCAACAAATACATTTAGAGAAATGTTTCCAAAAGTAATAGTTTGCCCTGTTTCCAGTCTTTGCACTAAGATAGGCTAAATAAGCCCGGGACCTATCTCTGTACCGAACACACAGAGGTTAAACTGATGTCCATCTTATCATCGATCTGCCAGCAAGAACGCAAACAAGCACATTTGCCAAAATGTCTTGAGTGTCCTGCTGCTATGTTTTTATTTTCAGCACAGCTGAAACTTGTTGCTTATCATGAATCAGTTTTGCTCTTTACAATTTTATTACTAATCAGTCCAATAAATGTCATGACGTCACTTATCAGCATTCATTTTGCAAAAACCTCACAGAGAGATCTTTCTTATCTGGGCAGAGCAGACCTGAGCACTAAATCCTGAAATGTGAGCGATACTGGACGTTCGCATCGCTGGCCTCACACACACACACACACACACACACACACACTCTAGTCACTGCTGCTGCTGGCAGCTTGTGAAGGGAGTCATGTGGTGTCTGAAAATAACAGCCCTCCAGAAAAAAAACTGTGAAATGTGCATCCAACTTAAATTATCAACATTTTCTTTGAGTTTAAAGCCACAGATTTCTGCCTGTGTGTGTTGCTGAGTGGGCTTTGAAGAGCTGTTTAATGCCTGTAATTACTGGCTGCAGACCTCCCCTAGTCCTAAAGATGGCCGCCGCTGGCCGCAGTTCCAGCTAGCCACAAAACCCCTGAAGCTCAGCTGCTGAAGGAGAGACACTGGAACCAGGACAGAGAGCTGCTGAGGAGCACCAAATATATACATGCAAGAACAGTAACACCGCAATGGAAGATTTCACTTTTCTTTTCAGATTCTTGAATTATTGATGCATTAAAATGTTTGAAATGAAAATCCAACAAACTGGAGGTTATTCCAATACTAGTCATACCAAATATTTTTTTTTCACTCAAGGCAGAGCTTCTCTCTCTCTCTCTGCACTGTTCTGATAGAAATGTGGTGTTTATTCCCAAAAAGTGTTTAATACCCTGAACGCTCGACGTGTTTTCACTAGAGCTGATTTGGACGAATCAGAACGGAGTAGGCTTTTTGAATCGGTGGGTTTAGGTTTCAACATGTTTGTGCAGGTAACTAAAGTTCTAAATAACAGAATGTCAGAGACTTGGAATCTGTAATCACCTTATGAGTTTTAAATGTTCACACCCTGAAAACGAGCCGAGCAGCAGAAGATATGAAACCTCGAATCAACATCCAGATACCGAAGGCCCTCACTCGTTATTGATCTTAATCCTGACTGCAGTATGGTCTTACAAATGCTCCATGTACACCAAGACCCTTCTTTATATTACATTTAGCCACAAATATCCATCTCTGATCCCAAAACTGATTACAGTCTGTCTTTAATCAGGGTCGGCCCCCTGGCAGTCCAACAGGAGGCGGAGATGCACATGAAGCTGTTTGGTAACTGATCAGTTGATCAGATGAACACGACGACGAGCTCTCTGTAGTGAAATATATGTCTAAAAAATAAACTGACTTTAACCTCTACCAGACATGACCTGCAAGACCTTAAAGAAACCTGCTCAGCAGCTCTGTGTGGGTCTGCAGGCCGAGCCGTCCTGCAGCAGCAGGCCGTTCATGGCTAATTAGGTCCAACCAGCCGCCACATCCATCAGCAGCTCGGAGCCTGGGGGCAGACAAACGCTGCTGATCAACTCCCTGTGTGTCTGTGTGTGTGTGTGTGTGTGTGTGACAGTGTGTGTGTTCTGTCTCGTGTTTGCAGGTTTCAGAAAGCCAAACGTTTAATTCCCAGACAATTTGGGATTATGTGGAAGTCTTTAAAGCCTCCGCCTGGCGACAAACAGAAATGCAAATGAAATCGTCTCTGCTGTGTTCGGACCAAAAAAACAAGCTGCAGAGTGTTTTCAGTCTGAAATATCTGTGAGCGTGTGTGTGTGTGTGTGTGTGTGTGTGTGTCCACCACGCTGTGTTATCTGGCTCTGCTGATTTATTTCTGTGTGTGTGTGTTTGTGTGTGTCGACCCTGGCCGTGTTCAGGTTCCTCGCTCTCATACATTTTACAACAGAACCAGGGATTTGAAATGCACATAATTCCCGCTTTTGGATCAGAGCAGAACTAAAGAAGCTGACGGAGCGTGGCAGCAGCCGCCGCCCAGAGGCACATCCACCCCCCAAATCCCTTGAGCCCGGCCCGGTCGTCATGCCCTCCCCCCGGCTCGTTATCGAAACCCTCCCTCCTCCTCCACTGCAGCTCTGACTCCAGGAGAGACGGACGTCAATACCTGTCTGCCGCTCTGAGGCCTTCAACGCTCTCCACATCCTTTAACCCTTTCGCCGCTGCAGCACGCAAACATACTGAATGTGGAGAGTCTGTGTGTCCCAAGATGTGTATCTGCAGCATTACACATCAATAAATGATCAGAATAGTGTTAGTGGCCAACACTTTGTTGGAGAGACCAGCGTATGGTGGGGCTACTGGTGACTTTGATTATTCAAACATCAGTTTACCTAAAGTTCACATCAGTCTCTGCACACTTTAAAATCAGATACACAACAATGAGACTTCACACACACACACACTGATCTCCAGAGTGAGGATTTCATTTCATAGTGAAGTGAAACCTTCTCCTGGACCGCTGTGGCGTATTGATTCGGTTTTCTAAAAGAGGAGGATTTATCCTCAGCGGAGACCTGAAACAGGAGAGGGTGGAGGCGTGACATTCATGTTAATACCGCCATCAGTGATGCATGATGGGACTTCAAATCCCCATGACGCTCAAAGACACAAATGTTCCAGTTCTCTGTGTAGTTAGGAGGCCTTACGAACTGAATAAATAACAAAAAACATGAGTTTGTGATAGCTTTCTCCTAATGTTCACTTACATTTCCTTTAAGCTTCAAAGCTGCACATATATTCACTATCTCCTTGTTCAAGCTCATTTATTTAAGTGTGCTTTCCATTCAAAGACAGCATGTTGGACTGCTTCTTTAGAAATAAGTTCAGGGAAATGATGGAGAAACAGAAGCTCATCCCAGCTGCTCTTTAAACCTAATAAAATCCTCAATGAGAACATTTTCCTTTTGTCTTAATATAACTGGTGTTTCCCTGTTGTAAAGTAGCTGCTGAGCTTCCTGCTGCGCTGCCTAATTACTGCATCTGACTGACTCCACCTGCCAGCACACACCTGCTGAACACTCACAGACTGCAGGTGAATAAATAAAACACACCAATGTTGACAAACAAAAAGCAGTATGTCATCACTGAGTTTGCTGCTCCAGACCAGGCTAATAGCCAGGCTTAGTTTATCCTGGTGCCTTATCTGTTCAGTCAGCGGTCACACCGATCAGAAACCAAAGTATTTCTGTGTGTTAATCTATGGCGTTGGTAGCACATAGTTTGTGATTATTAGGTTTCATAATTGGAGAAGAAGACGCATGGTATAAACATTGGTATAAAAGCACAACACGTAAAATAAATAAATAAATAAATAACAGGGGCACAGTAATAATACAGATAGTAAATAATAATAATATATTATAATTATTATTATTACATTTTGGAGTGGCCTTTTATTGCGGCCAGCCTGAGGCACACCTGTGCAATATGTCTGATATGTCACACCTGTGAGGTGGATGGATTATCTCGGCAAAGCAGAAGTGCTCACTAACACAGAGTTTGACAGATTTGTGAACAATATTTGAGAGAAACAGGCCTTTTGTGTACATAGAGAAAGTTCAGCTCAGCATGATGAATGGGAGCAAAAACAAAAGTGTTGCGTTTATAATTTGGTTCATTTGTTCAGTTTATATATATATACCCCTTGAGGAACACGCCGTCACTAA